AAAACATTCCCAACTCGGCTTCGCGCTGCGGTGCAGACAGACCAGTCCGGAAGCGCCGGGGTGGGGGATGGGGATGGGGCTGAGGGGGGGGGGTCTCTTCACGCCAAGGGGAGGACATTCAAAGGAGCTTTTTTTTTTTCTTTTCTTTTCTTTTTTGCCATCACAACATCAACAACAACAACAAAGGGTCGCCCGTCTCCTCCGCTCCCCCGCGTCCCCGGAGGGTGGGGGATGGGAGCGCGGGTCCCCGCCGCCGCCGCGCGCTCCTCTGCGGCGACCCCGAGGCGGGCAAAACGGCCGCGCTCATCACTCTTTTTTTTTCTTTTTCTTTTCCTTTTTTTCTTGTTTCCCGTCCCCTTTTTCTCTTCCTAACTTTCTCTCTCTCTCTGTCCACCTTTTTTTTTTTTTTCTTTCCTCTCCTCCTCCCTCGGTCGCCCCGGCCCACCTCTCCGGCGCGCGCCGCCGCTAGTAGGTGAAGACCAGGTTGGAGATGCTGGACTCGAGCCAGTCCCCCGAGATCATCTCGCTGACCTCGGGCGTGCAGTAGTCCGGAAACTCGAAGTGCGAGCCCGAGCCGGGCTCCAGGGCGAAGTCCAGGTCCCGGTCGAGCGCCGACGACGAGCTGAAGCTGCCCAGGGACATGCTCTCAAAGTTTGAGCTGGGGTTCAGGTCGAGCAGGTCGTCCTCGAACTCGTCGTCGGAGGCCGAGGAGCCGGCGGAGGAGGAGGCCGAGGACGAGTGGGAGGAGGACGAGGCGGACGAGGACGCGTGCGAGGGCGCGCTGGACGGCGCGGGCGAGGCGGCGCGCAGGCTGGCGTAGCCGCGGTGGTCGGCGGGCGAGCGGCCGGCGGCGGGCGACGAGGCGGCGCTGCTGCGGCCGCTGAGGCTCGGGCCGTCGGGCGCGCAGCCCGGGCCGCCCTCCTCGTACAGGCCCAGGGGGTCGCTGGGGTCGGCGGCGGCCGCCGCGCCCACGCCCGCGGGCGACCCCGCCGCCGCCGCCGCGCTCAGGCCGCCGAACAGGTAGACCCGCTTCACCTTCTTCTCGGCCGGGGGCTTGCCCGCCGCGGCGGCGGCCAGCGAGGCGGGGGCCGAGCCCGCCGCACAGGCCGCGGCGCCGGGAGTCCGCGCCTTGTACAGCGCGTGGTGGTCGGCGGCCGCGGCGCCCAGGGGCAGCAGGGCGGCGGCCCCCGCCTGCTCCGCCGCCGCGAAGGACGAGGCGGCCGCCGCCTTCCCGCCGCCGCCGCCGCCGCCCGTGAGGATGAGCTTGGCGTGCGGCTTGCCGCCCCCGCCGCCCGCCGCCTTGGAGCCGCAGCTCTTCTTCTGCGCCGGTTTGGAGTTGGCGCCGCCGCCGCCGCTCGCGCCGCCGCCTCCGCCCCCCGCGCCGCCGCCGCCGCTCCCGCCGCCGCCGCCCCCGTGGCCGCCCCCGCCGCTGCCACCGACCTTGTCGCCCTTCTCCCCCGGCTTGGAGGCGGCGGCGGCGGCCGAGGAGCCGGCGCCCGCGTTGTTGCCGGACTTCACCTTCTTCCTGGGCCGGTACTTGTAGTCGGGGTAGTCAGCCATGTGCTTGAGGCGCAGCCGCTCCGCCTCCCGGATGAAAGGGATCTTGTCGGTGTCTTTGAGCAGCTTCCAGCGCTTGCCCAGCCGCTTGGAGATCTCGGCGTTGTGCATGTCGGGCGACTGCTCCATGATCTTGCGCCGCTCGATCTGCGACCACACCATGAAGGCGTTCATGGGCCGCTTGATGTGCCCGCTGGGCGTCTTGCACCAGCTCGGGTCGTCGGCCTTGCCGCCCGTGGAGGCGGTGGAGCCGGGCGTCGGGGACGAGGCGATGCCCAGCTCCAGGCCGGCGCCCGAGTCCGAGCTCTCGCCAGCCAGCAGCGCTTCCGTGTTCTCGGCGTTGTTGGTTTGCTGCACCATGGCCCCGGCGCGGCGGGCGCCCACGCGCGCTCACAGCCTCGCGGCGGCGGCGGCGGCACGATCGCCGGGCCCTCCCGGCCGAGCGCACGCCGAGCGGGAGGACGCCCGCGGCGGCCGAGCGGGCCCCTCCGCTCCCGGCCGGGGCGGGCGGAGGTGGCGGCGGGCGAGAGCAAAGTCTCCAAAAGCGGAGGGGAAGGAGTCCTGCGCCTCTTGCAGAGAGGAGTTATAGTTCCCAGGCTGGTGAGCCTCTCCCTCCCTCTCGCTCTCTCTCACCACGCCGCAGTTTGCTCTGTCTCTTGGCTCCGAGTCTGGAGACCGTGCTAAAGTGGAGAGGAGTTTCTTGAACGCTGGTTGCTGAAGCTTCCAATGCAAGTTTCTCGCCGCCTCCCAGGCAAGTCCTTTTTTTCCCCCTCCTCTCTCCTCCTTCCCCTGAAGCAGTTGATTCCAGTTCACTTAGCGCTCTCGGGAGCTCAGGAAAGCGACATCGTCTGTATCACTTAGTGCCTCTCTCACAATGCAAAGCAAAAAAGAGACTGGCTCCAATACTCTGTGGGCGGAATCGGCACTAAGGAGTTTGTGTAATTATTTTGTTGCAAGGTAGGAAGCCAAAAAGCCTTCATGCAACAGACTGGCATGAATAAATGTATGTTTTCCCCTCCCTTCTGCAGGAAGGGAGCTGGTAGTGGTAGAGTTCCTCCAGTGCAGACTCTTAAAGAGCGTGCAAGAACCAGAGACCCCGGAGCGAACGCGGCCTCTTCCCCTCACACACCGTTTCTCTTGCTGCAGCTTAGAGCAGACCCCAATTCCGCCTCGCGCCTCTTTATCCTTTCACAGTCTTGGCCCCGGCCAATCAGCCGCTGTAACCAACGCTTCCTCGTGCCAAGCCCCTCCCCCGGGCTTCTCATTGGCTTAGAACCCTTTGCAATAATAATCTCCGCGTGCAATGAGAAGCTCCAAATCTGACCTCATTCCAATTTACAGAGCAAACTTTTTAAAAGGGCTAGAAGTACAGCTGAGATTTCTGCTGCCTCTTTTTTCCTTTTGCTGTGAGTGTGTGTGTGTGTGTATGTGCGCGCGCGAGTGCGCGCGTGCGGGTGTGTGTGTGTGTGTGTGTGTGTGTGAAGAGGATGTTAATGCATGAAATTATTAAAGGGAGAGACAAATGTATTCTAACCATTATGTTAGATAACAAGGGGCTGGGAGTGGGGTGAGGGGGGTAAGGGTGAAACACTGTAAATGGAAGCTTTCTGCTTAAAAGCCAAGTGATTATTTTTATTAGTTCTTTTCACTGTTGGAATAAAGAATCAGTCTGTAGTGCAAAATCTGCTCCTAGGCCCCTTCATAAAGCCAACGATGTAAAAGGGGAGGGAAAGCTACAACAGTAAATCAATGGATATTGAAAACCATTAAGAAAGTGGTACCTAGACACCTGTCATCACAATTACTTTAACGCTAGGTACAGCACAGATGCTGACGTATTGTGTAAATCCCCTCAGAGTGATTTTTGTGCTGTTTGTGGACGGCAAAAAAGAGGAATTTCTGCATTAATTACTTGCTCTCTTAACCAAACAGGGGCGATTTAATGATTTAAACACCTATAAATCCTGGATAGCCCAAACAGAAGAGCTTTCCCTTGGAAAACACCAGGCAGTGTGCTATAATTAATTCAATGGGAGAATTTCTATAGAGTGATAGGGTGATAATGGCGAGTATAGGATGGGAATCTATTGTGCTTTCTAAATATTTGTTTCCACATTCTCAAAATTAAACATTACATCACTCCCTGTCCTCCCCCCCAAACCCTCCTACATATATTTTTTCTTGTATACTCCTATGTATTTGTTTTTTGAATCAAATGGAACTGAAAGGCCAGGGCAAAGAGAAACCATAGAAGAAGGTGGTAACTGGTAGCGGAAGAGAATGGAGCCTCTGGATTAGTATCAGACCTGGCTGTTGGTCCCTCTTACTGGTTTTGTAACCCTGGGGATGTGACCAGGTCTGTTTCCCTCATCTGATACTGGAACACTAGGAGCTGCTTTATATAGGGTTGGTGTGAGGGTTCAATGAGTTTGATGTATAGTAAGCCCTCAGTGAATGCTATTATCCTTCCCTTGATAATTCAAATGCTCGAGATACTCCTCCACATAGAAGCGGCCTATTGTTCAAGAGACTAAAAGATGGCCACTGATGTGAAAAAACAATCACAGATCATGGATGTGAACCATCCAAGGACAATAGTGGCAATCCTGTGGTCTCAACGATTTTAAAAGAAAGGGACTTTGTGAAAGTACTGCGAGCACTGTGGCAAAGAAAAGGTGCTTTACTTAGTCAGGACACATGTTAATGTGGCCACAGAAATTACCGTTGTTCCAAAGTGTGAAAATTAGAATTCTAGTAAAAATGGGTCCTTTCTAACACTGTAACAGTGAACTGTTTTTCTACAGGCCAGTGATGGGTGGTTGGGGAGGGCCAACTCAACATAATTAAGTCAGCTTTCGATTCAGACCAAACTAGTGCTAGGCAGCAAATTTCTATTTATCTTGTCAAACTTTTAAAGTATGGAGGCTGGCGAGAGGCCCAGATTGTCAGATTTAGAATTTTACTGGAAAGAACACCCTTTGGAGACATGTGAGTGGATCTCTAAGGATCAACCACAAGTAAGAATGTTTTTGTGGGTAAAAGCAAACAATTTTTGACTATTAGTTATCCATATCCATATGCTTTTCTTTTAGAAGGAGAAACAGATCTTAAGAAAAAAATATCCACAGATACTCTTTCTGCATATAACAGAGTTGGTGTGTTATCATGCACTTAAATTTATTTGTCAAAATACACCCCTAAATATTATCAATCTGACATTAAAGCTGCTCTAAGAGGACTATTGTTTTTGTAAAATCAATACTGACACTAAAATAAAAAAAAGAATAAATACTTTATTTTGGAATTTGTACCAACAAATGATTTGAGAGTAGCTCTTTTGTGAAAATTCAGTCAAGGTGGGTATCAATATAATGGTTTATATTTCTAAAGCCATTTATGCTTCCACCACTGAATGTGAAAAGTGGAAGTTAATCAAAGCAGTCATAGTAATTTTGTTTATATTTAAAGAATTTTTTTTACAAGTATGTACCCCCCAAAACAAACAAACAAACAAACAACAACAACAAAGCTCTTGGCCTATTTCTGTTGTTTAATGTATTTTCTATATTGTAACAAATCCAACAGATGCTTAAAAACACCATCGTTACACACCACTCAGGAAGAAAACCTGCCAACGAAACTGTGACACCCCCCAGTTGTAGGACAGAGACCTATTTCAGAGATGTTGTAAAGGAAAATGTTATTAGAATGGAACTCTTGGTTATTATTTAATATTTTAATTAGTATTAGTCATTTCCAATAATTTTGTAAGATTACTATAGTATATGTGAATGCTTAGACTTCTGAAGTAGGTTTGTTCTTATGTTAGTAATTGTCTTAAAGTGTAAGAAACATGTGATAAACAACCTTTTATTAAAGTCAACCTTTCTGGCCAACTGCCTAAGTGTGTGCACCCTGCACTGTGTTAGGCCTCTGACTAATAAATAATGAGGAAAGATTGCTGGGTTCTCATTACTTAATTACATGTGCTTTATAACCAGTTCTCGATTACTGACATCCCCCCCCCCCCCCCCCCCCCCCCCCCCCCCCGCATACAGATATTTGGTGGCCCCTACTAAACCAGTACTCAGTGTTCCCTCTGCTGGCTTTGCAGTACATGAAGTAATTCTTGATAATGCTGCTCTTTAAGTCATATTAACAGAAAACAAAGATAATTTTGCAAAAACATTTTTTTTCTGTTTTAGGATAATAGGCTATCTTTATTAGCAATGATGTTAGACATTTCCAATTTTGAATTAAGGGAAATATTTTATCTTATTTATTTTCCATTAAGTAATGGAATTCTATGTGAGATGTAGTGTGATATCTGCTAATTCATTTCTTCTGCTCTCATACACCTGCACAACATAAAACTTCACAAACGTCCATAAAATAGTATGGGGTATAAATGGAAATAAGATTCTATCCCATTCTAACCCACTGCTTAATATATTCCTATAGTATAGAGGTGGGTAGGGTGGGACCTGAAGGGAAATTAGTTTAACAAATCTGGATGCTCAGATTTGCCTTGCCTTGGTTATAGAAACTATGATTGTAACAGCTGGGCTAACCTGAAAAATATTCATGTCAAATATAAATTGGGGGGGGGGGGGGTTAAAAATATATATAGGGAAAAAAAAACACACCCTGTCTTTGTTACTTTAGAAGACAGGATAGAAGCAGCCCTGGGAAATTTGATGTCATTGACCTTTGTCAACTGAATGGCCCCCAGGCTTTTCAGTTCCACATTTTCTGGAAAAGGACTCTCCATCCCAGACTGACTTCTCAATCAAGTAGACAAACAGCACTTACACTTCATCCTTTTGGGTTGATGAAGCTGTACTGGGACTGGACTTCCTTTTGGTGGGTTGCATGGAGAAAGAGTAATCAAAATAAGATGGAAGTTTCTTACTTGCAAATATCAAAATAGGATTCTGGAGTAAAATAAAACCCACGATATATTTTTACTTTTTACTCTTAGAATACACTAACAGATAAGAACCCTGAATTTCTAATAAATTTTTACCATTTTTCTCTCCCCTCCTAACCAGCCACTAGCATCTGATGGGCTTAAATAGCACTTCATACCAATGCCAACTCATTTTCCTTTCCTCTCAATTTTCTGATGAGAACAAGGAGAAAGCGAGTGTTTGCGTGGGTCACGTAGATTGGAAGCATAAACAGGAGCCTTTGCTCCATTTCCCAAGGCCCAAGCCAGGCACACCCGCGGGGAGCCAGGGCTTGCTCTGCCTCCAGCCGGCTCCCCACTTGGGGAGGACTCGCCGCCAGGTGGCATCGCTGAGCCTCCCTGCGCCCTGGAGGAGACCTGGGAAAACGTGGTGGTGGTGGTGGGGGGGGGGGGATCCACAGATTTCTTTCTTTCCCCCCTTCCTCCGCTCCCGAACTCTTATCACCCCCCAATCCGCTATCTCCTTCAGCAGTTTAAACAACCAGCGGTTAATAGGGTGTGACGGTGAATCGTAATGATTTTTCCCCCTATAAATCAAAGTGTAGAGCCACCGATCGCCGCCTCCTGCTCACTTGTCAGAAGCTCCCCGATTTGGGGGAAGCCTGGTCAGCCACCCTTTGGATGGAGCGCCTGCACCCAGAAGAGGATCCATGTACCGCGTCGGTATCCTGCCGTAGCGGGTGGCGACCGCGGCTTCCCCGCCAGCAGCACCCGGTGCCCGAGAGCCCCGCAGGGGAGCGGCGCGCCCGCCTCCGGGGCCAGCAGAGGCCCCTCCTCCCGCCAACATGGTTCCTGGCCGGGGCGCAGGCCGCTCCCCCGCCCCAGCGCCCAACGGCCGCGGCCGGAGGAGCGGTGCACAGCCCGGTCCCGCCTCGGCGGCCGAACCTCGCCTTTCGATCCCCGTTACCAGGATGGGGAAAAAAAATAAAATAAAAATGGGCCAAAACCGGCTTGGCTCAATGGATAGAGTTTCGGCTTGGGGACGGAAAGGACCCGGGTTCGATTCCCGTCAAGGGCATGTACCTTGGTTGCGGGCGTATCCCCAGAGGGGAGTGTGCGGGAGGCGGCTGATGGATGACTCTCTCTCATCGATGTTTCTAACTCTCTATCTCTTTCCCTTCCTCTCTGTACAAAATCAATAAAATATATTTTAAAAAAAATTTAAAAAAATAAAAATGGGAATCGACTCGGGCTTCCTTGTTGGAGGAAAGCCTGTCCTACTGTAAACACGTCCCAGGCTCCCTTGTCAGCCGCACTTTCACACCCGTCTTTCGAGGAGGAGGCTTTCCGGCCGGGGAAGAAGCTGCCGGCGCGCACACGCGCAGCCCCGTGCATACCGCCCCCGCGCCGCACGGCTCTGAGACCCTGGAAGCTGCACCGGCCGCGGCTGACGGGGTTCGTTCCCCGGGCGCTCGGCCCCTCCATCCCCCACGCCCCACCGGAGCCAGCTGAGCCCGGGCTGCGGTGCCCGGCTCCACCACTGACCGGAACTGCCCGCCTCCCGGCCGCCTCCCCCTCGGCGCCCACAGTCCGCGTTCTGGCCGCCCGAGTGCCCTCTGAGCGCGGTGCGCCCGCCCCCACGCCCCGGCCGCCAGACTGCATGCGGATCCTGGCTGGGCACCCTCCCCCGTGTGGCTGTCTGGCTTTCCAGGAGGGCAAAGTGGGGGTGGGGTGGGGTGGGGAGGTGCGTGGGTCGATGGCAGAAAAAAAGCCACGTGGGGGGGGGGTTGACAATTGGTTGCACCCAAATCCTCAAGCGCCCCTCCCCCGGGGTCTGCATAGGGTAAGCGTGCTGAGTGCCCTCCCTTGCCCCATGCTCCTGTGAGGAAGGCAGGGTGGGGTGGGGAGGCACCCCAAGATCCCAGGGGCTCTCGGGGGAGCAACTGGCGCTCCAGGGATCGGACTCTGGTTTCAGGTTTGAGAGGAGGGAGCTTATGGCGGGTAAACAGAGGCTGCGCCCCAGGCGTGGCTCAGAAGCAAAGCTGTAAGGAGGGGTTCGGCTCGCAGTGCTCCCCCCTCCCCGCAACATTCGTGAGTCTCTGCTTTTCTGCCTGCCCCACCCCGGGGCGTCCCGAAACCGTCCCAGTGACCCCAGCCCGCAGCGTGGATACGAGCAAACCTCCCCCCCCCCCCCCCTAGGATCCCGCCCTCTGCCAACTCCGCAGCCGGGTAGAAGCGATCCCAGTGGGAGCCCCAGTGGGGGGACGCGGCTGATTTCGCTTTTGGAAAAGCCCTTGATCCAGAGCAAGCCTAAGCCCACGTCCCCAGGCTGGTTGACCTACAATTGGAGGGTGTGCGAGGGCGGGCTGGGGCGGCGCGTCTGCGGGAGGAAAACCCGCTTCAGAGTGGGCAGAGGAAGCCAAGCAAAATGTCAGATAAGAAGAGCGGAGAGGGAGGAAGAGAGGCGCTTATTGCAGAGAGGGAGGTGGGAAGGCGCGGAGAATGCACCGGCTGCCAGGTGACTTGGGGGCTAAGGAGAGAAGAGGCGGGTGCGTGGCGGGCACCTGACCTCCAGGTCCCCAGCCCATCCCTCCCTGGATCCTGGCGCGGCCAGACACCGCGGGTGGAGGAGACGGCGCGGAGCTGGGGCGGGAGTAGCGGTGGGGGGTGAGGACTGGGCGGGAGGGGCGGCGCGCGGGGACCAAAGAACTCAGCGCCCCAGGCCGCACCGGGCGCGCTGCACACCTGGCATCCAGGACTCCCCATCTGCTAGGAGCTCGCCTCCGCTGCGGCCAGGGGTGTGGGCTTGGAGAGAGATAACGACACCGCCAGAGGAGTGGATGGCTTCTGTCAACTGTGGCAATGAACTCTATGAAGGTTTAGGGTGCTCCTACTGTGTGCTGAGCGCAGGCTCCAGCTGCTGGGCCCAGGAACGGCACCGGCACCGACTCTGATGGCATCCTCACACTAGGAAATAGTCCAGTGTATATCGTTGTATAATAAATTAACCATTGGAACAATCTATGCAAATTCGCCGTGCCCAGGAGGGTGGTGGAAGCAGCCCGGGTTCTGGAGAAGCTGGGTCTGGCTGAGCAAGGCACAGACCGACAGGACGATGGGTGATTTTCCACTGCTTCCTGACGCAAGGATGACACCCCCTTCCTGTCCCACATTCCCACAATACAGAGATCAAAATGAACAGTAACAATTTAAAATGTAGTTTAGTGATATACTTCATCTGGGCTAGAACGGTTTGCAAATAACTGAAGGCTGTCCTTAAACATTCACATCATTAATTTCACAAATGTCAGACCTGGAACGCTGCCTTATTGAAACAAGTGCTTTGTAATGTAACTTGTGGTTGTAGTCAATCCTCACGAGAGGACATTTTTTTCCATTGATTTTTAGAGAGAGTGGAAGGGATGGAGGAGGGCAAGAGAGAGAAAGAGAAACATCTATGTGACTCATGGATTGGTTGCCTCCTGGGTGAAATCTGCAACCAAGGTATGTGCCCTTGAACAGGAATGGAACTCACAGACTGACACTATAACCGCGGACCAACAAATCAGGGCTGTAATGTGTCTTTATACTATTCTGAGAGAAAATTCATGAATATAACTTACTATGCATTGTTCTGAGAACAACGCACCATTGTTTTAAATCGCCATAATGCTCAAACTACAATATAAAGGGGAAATACAAGTTACAAAATTAATAATAAAGTAATATACATTTCAAATGTGAATGCTCTGGCTATATTTCACTGAAACACCCAAAATACTGTCTAAAATGCTTAACATTCTTTCTAGGGAGTATTACTGGCCCGATGTGAATCCTGCATTATGAGTTCCAGGCAAATGCTAAATAATGGGAACGCTACTGATATTCTAAATTCTTAACATCGCAGTGGATGTGGTATTCTTGCCCTGATGTGGACCCTTCCCCCATTGACTCTGGATTTGGTCAGGTGACTCGCTCTGGCTAATAGCACATTGGCAAGCATGACCAGGCAGAAGCTTGGTGAGTACCACATATGCAGGTTTGTGCACCTGAAACCCTGAGAACATGGGGTTGGGAAAAAGCCAGTCTAACTTAGTGGAAGATGAAAGGCTTTACGGGCAAAGCCGAGATATCTTGCCACCTGGAGGGTCCCAGGCATGCGACATGCCGTCTTGGACTTCAGCAGGAGCATCAGTTGGGGACAGCCACCTGATTGATCTCAGATGAGTCCAGCGAAAGAATCACTCAGATTGACAACAGAACTATGAGCACCATTGCTTTAAATCACTATATTTTAGTTGGCTTGTTGCATAGTAATAGAGGATGGAGAAGTATTAATTACAATGCCACCTGATAGATGCCAAAATGAAAGTCCACCCAAGAAGGTTATCTTTGCTTACTGACTCCATATCTTCCTTATGAGTTCAATAAAAAAACACACAAATAAACAAACAAACAAACAAACAAAAAAACCCTCATCTATGCCTCTGGTGGATGTAAGAGTGAATTAGACTTCAGTAACCCCAAACATCTTATCTACGTTAGTTGCAAGTTGCGCTTCTTTCCATTTCCCAGATGTCCCTGAAATTCCTTCTCCCCTCAGGAGGCCTGCAGCTCACCAGCATTATCCTGTTTCCTCTCTGTCTCTCCTGCTGCTGTCTGTAGCCTTTCTTGGCCAGCTCTTTTCTCTCCACTTTTTAAAAAATTTTTCCTTCTTTCTGGTCTCATTTCTCTCCAGTTTTTCTGCTATTACAGCAACACTTATTTATTTATGGTCAGTAAACATATAAACCATATTAAGCCCTCAATAATTTGCTTTCTTAGTGTACCTTGGCTTCCCCACTCTTTTCTTCCTCCCACATTGCTTCTGCTTGTAAATTTCTTTCAGTCAAGTGTTGGAGTGGGATGGCTATCAACTCTCTAGAGTAGGGGTGTCGAACTCAATCAGAGAAGGGGCCAAAATCTAAAATCCAGCCTAAATCGCGGACCGAATGGTTTACTGAACAGTCATAAACTGTCATTGTGATGGAAACGCAGCGAAGTGCAGTGATGACAGTGCGGTGCGGGCCACATTGCAAGGCCTGGCGGGACGGATTTGGCCCGCGGGCCTTGTGTTTAACACATGTGCTCTAGAGTCTTGAAAAGTGTGGTGTTCACATACAGGTTGTAATTGGAATGTCATGGTATGGTGTGTTAGTCAAGGTTCCCCAGAGAAACAGAACCAGCAGGAGATAGGTAGATAGATCTCAATGATGGAGAGAAGTCCCAAGATTTGCAATCAGCAAGCTGGAGAGCCAATAGTGTGGTTTCAGTCCAAACCATAAGAGGTTTGAGACCAGGAAAAACTGAGACCAGGAAAAGTTGGGAGTTCTAAGGCAAGGGGAAAAAAACGATATCCCAGCAGGCAGGCAGGCAGGGGGAATTCTCACTGATTTGGGGGAAAGTCAGCCTTTTTGTCCTATTCAGGTCTTCAACTGGTGGGATGAGGCCCAGCCACATTAGGAATTGAAATTCGCTTTCTCAGTTTATTGATTTAAGTGTTAATCTCATGAAAAACACCTTCATAGAAACACTCAGAATACTATTAAAAAAATTATCTGAGCAACTGTGGCCCAGTCAAATTGACATGTAAAATTATGACACATATTTTCCAAATTAAAATGCAGACTATCCAAGAAGATACAGTATTGAGCTACTTTGGCAATAATAGCTTACAGTACAGGTCTTAATAGTAGCTTTTCTAGTCGGTTCAAGTAGGTTTTAGCATGGGCAGGGAGGGTTGGAGAGAGGGAATGAGCTGATCACTTTGAGAATGTAGTGGTCTCAGCTGAAGGAAATAGTGTGATAGATGAGAAAAGGGAAAACTAAAGGCTAAAATGTGTTGCCCTCTTTAAACATATAGCTTTAATTCTTGAGACTGGAAAGTCCCTATTCTTAATATGCTGTATGGTATATTCAAGTTTAAGGTATGATATAGCTTAGCTCAGAATTGATATGACTATCCTTTTTATGTACATGCTTCAAGGGTGAAATGGAAAAGAAAAAGAAAAAGAAAAAAAAGATCCCTAAAACTCCACACCATGTAATTAAAGGATATGCGCACTAACCTTCCTTAGAAGTAATTTTATAATGATAATCATCGCCTATAATATTTAGTAGTCTATACAACAGTTTCTAGATTTGAGTCCAGCAATTCTCCAAACTAGGCTGAATGGTTCCATTTCTAAACATGTGACCTTCACGATTGCATGTAAAGGAAACTGTAGAGAAATCTTACTCATCCTTAAATGTCTCTTCCTGAAAGTGACACACGTGATTTGTGCTCACAGTCACTGGATATAACTAGGCACATGGCCCTATGTAAAGGCTTGGAAATATGGCTTTACTCTGCCCAGGAAACAAGGAAAATGAGTATGGGTGAATCCTAGAAATCTGTTCAAATTACTTATGGAATTGATATACCTCATCTACATGTGCTATAAAGCGAATTTATTTTAAGTGAACCCTATTTTCCTTTCAGCTGCATGTAGAAATCAGCAATGTTCTACCAGGAAAAATTTTTACCTTGTCTAATACTGACATTAAGGCTTAAAACAATCATTAGAGACATGAACATTTCTGCTTTTGAGGGTGATGTGGAAGCAGCAAAAAGTCATCACAAGCAGAAAAAAAGATTACAAATGTCACATTTTATAAGATATTGCATTAAAAGATAGTTCTAGCATATAAAACTAGAAGAAATAAATTTAGAGACAGAAGCTAAAACTGCTAGCCATCTTCTCACCTGGCAGCATTTGCTGAGTCTGGACACAGGTTGTCATAGGAAAATAAAAAGGAAAAATAGAATATTTTACATCACGTTGGTCAGCGTGGATAGACTGGAATCTACAGGATCATCAGGGAGCTATTTCCCCACAGATATTTGCTGAGTGCTACAAAGACACAGAGAAATCAGTTGTAGACCAACTCATGCTAGAGAGGGCATGAACAAAACAAAACAAAAACAAACAAACAAACAATATATATATATATATATATATATATATATATATATATATATATGTTTTTATATATGTGTGTGTGTGTGTGTGTGTGTGTGTGTGTGTCACTTTCCAATGGGGATATGTTCTGAGAAATGCAATTCTGTCATTATGCAAATGTCAAAGAGTGCAATTACAAAAGCCTAGATAGTATAGCTTACTACACATCTAGAATATATATATACTAGAGGCCTGATGCAAAGGGCTCCAAGGGCCAAGGCAGCAGCCCGGCTGCCTCCTAGGCCCTTGCAGCTCTAGCTTCATCCGTAAGGTCGTTCAGAATGTTGTCCAGAAGGTTGTTCGGCTGTCTGATCTAATTAGCACATTATGCTTCTATTATTATAGACCAGAGGCTCGGTGCACAAAATTCCTACATAGGGCAGGTGTATCCCTCACCTCAGCCTCTCCAATCTGGGACATCCCTCTCACAGTCCTGGACTGTTGGCTCCCAACTACTCGCCTGCCTGCCTGCTTGATTGCACTTAACCGCTTCTGCCTGCCATTCCCTTTCCCATTCCCTAACCACTCCCTTGTTAGCCTGATTGATGCCTTACTGCTCCCCTGCCAGCCCGATTGCCCCTATCTGCCCTCCCTGCTGGCCTGTTTGCTCCTAACTGTCCTCCCCTGCTAGCTTGGTCACCCCTAACTGCTCTCCCCTTCTGGCCTGGTCACCCCAACTGCCCTCTCCTCCAGGCCTGGTTCTTCGCAACTGCTCTCCTCTGTAGGCTTGGTCCTCCTTCCCAAAGGCCCTCCCCTGCAAACCTAGTGCTCCTAACTGCCCTTCCCTGCAGGCCTGGTCATCCCTAACTGCCCTCCCCTGATGGCCCAGTCGCCCATAACTGTCCTCTCCTGCAGGCCTGGTTCCCCCCAACTGCTCTCCTCTGCAGGCCTGGTCCTCCCCTCATCTGCCCTCCCCTGCAGGCCTGGTCCCTTATAGGCCTGGTCGCCTGCAACTGCCCTTGATTGCTGGCCATCTTGTGGTGGCCATCTTTGGCCACATGGGGGTGGCCATCTTGTGTGTTGGAGTGATGTTCAATTTGCATATTATCGATACCTCTTTATTATTTAGGATAGCTTATTGCTGTAGGCTTCAAAAATTACTATACTGAATATGGTAGTTAACTGTAACACAATGGTATTTGTGTATCTAAGCATATCTAAACACAGAAAAGCTACAGTAAAAATATGGTAGACAGTACTTTTCATACAACTGGCAGCGCAGTAGATGTGTTTGCACCAGCATCACTGTAAACACGAGTAATGGGTTGTGTTAGGACTTTACAATGGCAGTAGGTGATAGGAAAGTTTCAGCTCCATTTTAAACATATGGTACTTTTTTTCCAAGTTAAAAAGATCTGAATTAAGAGGAATACTTTGTTTTTGGATTGGTAAAGATGTTGATTTTTCAAAAATTGATTTATAGTTTAAATGTAATTCCAAACAAAATTTTAGTTTTTTGTTTATTTTATAGATATAATCAAGCTGATTCAAAATTGATGTGATATAGCCACGCTGATTATAAATTAAATGGAAATGCAAATGATCTATTAGTAAAAAATATCCTGAAGCTCAGTGAATAGAGCATCAACCTGGAAACTGAAAGATCCTGGGTTCAATTTTCGGTCAAGGGCACATGCCTGGGTTGCAGGCTCCATCCCCAGTGTGGGGTGTGCAGGAGGCAGCCGATCCATGATTCTCGCTCATCATGGATGTTTCTATCTCTCTCTCCTTCTCCCTTCCTCTTTGAAATCAATAAAAATATATTTTAAAAAAAGTTCTGAAGATGAAAAACAAAGGTGGAGAATTCATTACACTTCCAGATTTTAGTAATTAACACAGTAAGATTAGACAAATTATAGACCAAATGAACACAAGAGTAAAAAATAAACTTACATCAATAGAATTACTTGGTTTATAATAAAACAGTACTCTTAATTTTGTTAGGAAAGGGAAGTGGACTTATTGCTCCCCGCCCCCCCACCCTGCCTCCAACATATGGTGCAATTGTATATCCACATGGAAAAAATAAAAAAGAATCTTGACTTCTAATTCATACAATATACAAAAATTAATTTATCATATATCACAGTCATAGATATTCAGAGAAAACTTAGGAGGATATACTTATGACCTTGAAGTAGGCAAATATTTCTTACATAGGACACAAAAACACTAAGCAGAGAAGAAACCAAACACTGGTATAAAATATTTATAATATATCAATCTGATAGATAATCCATAAGAATAACTAAAATTAAAATAGTAGCAAAGTAAGAGAGATATGGACCATCTGAAATTCTCATATATTTGGTGGGTATGTACAATGGAATAATCACTACTTACTAATCTAATATGTCTAGATATATACTCAAGAGAAAGGAGTATATATATGCTCACCAAAGAGCACAGACAAGAATATTCATGCCCAAACCTGGCAGCAATCCAAATGTCCATTAACAGAAGAATAGATAAGTATCTTATGAAATTTTTACCTGATGAAAAACTGCACAGAAACAAAAGAGCAGAAAAGAAGTAAGCCCAAAACAGTATGTGTTGTATGATTTCCATTTGCGTGAAGTTAGCTCAGGAACAGGCAAATACAATTGTTAGTGATAGAAGTTAGAGACATGGTTATCTGCCCATGAGGGCTTGACTGGAAATGGCCATGATAGAACTTTCTAGAATACTTGAAATGTTCACTATATTAATCTCAGTAATGCTTGCATGGGTGCACACCTGTATAAAAATTTATCAAGCAGTACACTAAAGATCAGTGCTGTTTTTTGCCTTGAATAGATATATACCTTGAGAAAAAGATGAATCAGAGAAAGACAAAGATATTTAAAGGAAACCTACTTTTCAGTACTCAAAAGCAGGAGTCAGCAAACATTATCTGTAAAGGGCCAGACAGCAAATAGTTCAGGCTTGTAGGTTCTGTCATGACTACTTAACTCTGCTGCTATAGTGCTAAAGCAGAGATAGACAGTAAATAAACAATGACCATGGCTGTGTTCAAATAAACTTTATTTACAAAAATAGTGCTGGCCTGATTGGGCCTGCCAGCCATGGTTTACCAACTCCTGCTTTAAAGCATTAGCAAAGATGTCACCTGTAGTTAAAATATCACAAAATAGAATTCCTTCTTCTATAACATGAGGTATTGTAGTAAGGCCTCTTCTAGCCCAAATACTGTATGATTGCTTTTGAAATACTGGAAGTAGGGTGTGTGTGTGTGTGTGTGTGTGTGTGTGTGTGTGTGTGTAGACATAAAAGGATGCCAGTAATTATACCAAAATAGTTAAAAATTACCTCTCCCACCTTTCTCTTTCTCTGTACCTTCATCCTTCTCCTTATTGAATCAGGAATGGATTTTCACACAACATTAACAAATACTTGTGGGATATTCATTACACAGTGCACACAAGGCTTTCGTGGTCACCCAGCCTAGAGGTAATGATGGTGTAAAAGGTCGTATATAGTGGAAATAAAATTAGATATGGTTTCTGCCCTCAAGGACTTGTATGATGAAAGAGTCAGAAATTAAGTAAATACAGATAGAAAGAAGTAACTATGTAAGTGTTGTAAAGAAAAATAAATTGGCATGTGAGAAGGAATAAAAGGGGCAGAATTTAAAAATGGAATTGGTCAGAGCAGACTTCTCTGGGGCTGGATCATTAAAAGTGAGACCTAAAGAATGAATACAAGCTGGCTAGGTGAAGAAAGATACGGTATGTGGGAGGCAGGGAGAGAACAGCCGGCAGAAGGAACAGAATGTGCCAAGGCAGGAGAAAGGAAAGCTTAGCACGGGAAACTAGTGAGGCTAGAATGTGATGAGCATGAAAAAAAAAAAATGTGGCACAGAAGAAAAAGAAGTGGTGAGTAAAACCCAGACTGTACAGGGTATTGGTTTATATTAAGAAATTTAGATGTTTTTTTGTTTTTTGTTGTTGTTAATTCTTACCCTAGGATATTTTTCCATTAATTTTTGGAGAGA